CGGCGGGAGCGCGAGTCCTGATTGGCTGGCTCGGCTGTCAGCCAGGATGGGGGCGCGGCCCGGGCCTGGCTGCCCGGCGCCTCAGGGCGCGCTAAGCCCTAGGTGTGCGTGGAAAAATGTCAAATAAATGTATTTTCAATTATAGTTCGCTGCTTCGGCGTCGCCGGAACCTTCCCTTCTACTTTGAAACCCAATCTGAGATAAAAAATGTCCGATTTCTGCATTCAAGTGTGGCGGTGGAAGTTCGACGCCAACATGGGGAGTCACTTTCAGTCTGTGAAAAGTCGGCCAGGGAAGCACTAAAACAGAGCCCTGTTCTTTGAAAAGCGATCCGCAGTTTCTTTTCAGACACCCGAGGAAAGCAGGACACGGCTTGGTGCAAAACAAAAAACGACGACAGTTCCCCAAAAGGTACACGCTGCATTCATTCTGCGGTGAAAAATAAAGTGGCTGTACCAAGACCGTAGTGTTTACAGTCCCGGCTTTCCATGTTCCATTACAGAAAACAGGCAAAAAGCACATTCCGTCTCTTTAGTGTCCCTGTTTTCAGTAGTGCCACGCTGGAGATACAACATGACACCAGCACAACGTTTTCATACCTTCGTCAGTGTTTGAGTCCACCCCCCTCTCAAGCTCCCAGGAATGTTTCACATTCAGTTTCAGGTCGGAAATATAACAAAATCAAACCCCATGTGAAGCCCAAGGGAAAGTCCCATGTTAATTGCACAGACCTGGAACTGTGGAAGTGCTGTGATAAAACATCATCAAACTCATAAATATTTCTGATACTCTGGGGAAGTCAAAGGCCAGTTTAATTCTTCATGGAATCATGGAATCACAGAGTAGTTTGGGTTGGGATCTTAAAGCCTACCCTGTTCTACTCCTTGCCATGGGCAGGGACACCTTTCACTATCCCAGGCTGCTCCAAGCCCTGCCCAACCTGGCCTTGGACACTTCCAGGGAAGGGGCAGCCACAGCTTCTGTGGGTAACCTGTGCCAGGGCCTTCTCACCCTCACAGGGAACAATTCCTTCCCAATATCAATATAGCCCTGCCCTCTTGCAGTGGGAAGTCATTCCCCTTTGTCCTTGTAAATTGTTTCTCTTCATCTTTCCTTTCAGCTCCTTCAGGTACTGGAAAGAATCAGGTCTTCCCAAAGTCTTCAGCCAGCTGAACAATCCCAGTTCTCCCAACCTTTCCTCGTAGAACAGCACCAAAAGAAATGTCACTGCAGCTTTATATTTTACTTTTTTTTTAATAAAAAGGAGCCACAGATGGATCCTGGCCCTGAACCAATGTTGTACTAGCTGTGGGACTTCAGCCGCTTCCAAGCACTGGAGGATGGAAACTCAAGGTTGTTTTAAAAAGGATTCTGGCCGTGGCCCTGTTGCCGGCAGTGAGTGTTTCCACCACGAGGTGTCTCAAAGGTTAATCACTGCAAGAACAAATTTGGGACTGGCTCTTATCACACACAAACAACAGGCATCGCCTCGCTGTCACATCTGGTTCACTCTCTTCAGGAAACAAATTGTATTGAGTGGAAAAGGGTTGCGATTGTTGCATCTTGAGTATAAGTGAACTGTGTTTTCGGGAGCTTAATTTTTATCATTCTTCAAAAGAAATAGAGAGTATAATTCTCCTAATTCTGAAAAAATCTGTACAAAAAAATCAAAACAGAAAAAGGGAGGGGCAGCTCAAATCTCTGCTCTGTGTGACCAGGGACAGACCCAAGGGAAGGGCTGGAGTTGTGGCATGGGGAGTTTAGGTTGGATATTAGGAAAATTTCTTTCCCCAGAGGGTTGTGGGGCACTGCCTAGGCTCCCCAGGGAATGGGCATGGCTCTAAAGGGGCCAGAGCTCCAGGTGGGTTTGGGCAGCGCTCCCAGGCACAAGGTGAGGTTGCTGGGGTGTCTGGGCAGGACCAAGGTTTGGACTTGATGATCCCTCTGGGTCCCTTCCAACTTGAGATATTCTGTGATTCTATGACTCTATGAAAAATCTATGCAACAAAATCTGAAGTCCACAAGGTAGCTTTGAATCTTGCCAGATCTAATAAAGGCCAGGGTAAGAGTTTTGCAGCTGCAATATGAGTCTTTATCCTGGTCTTCAAATCAAAGAAAAACTGATGCCTGAGCAGGACTTGAAGTAAGAACAACTTCTGTTAACGATCACCTGTTTTGTAAGTGTTTGTGCTGGGCAACTGCCTGGTTTCATATAAAAACAGCCACTGAGGAAGAAAGCTGGGGATGTTTTCCTCAGCATGTTCCACTGTAAACAAATATATCCAAGACTGGAAATTTTCTGTGACACCTGGAGTAAGAGTTGAAGTATTTCTCCATCCTTCACATTGTTCTGTTTATTGGGATGTTCAGTGCACACATACAGTTCAGTTTAATAGGGGCTGTTGAGAGAAGCAAAAAAGGAAGAACTCCAGACCTTTCTTGCCCTCAAAATTTTAATTTATTTTAAAATAACACTAGTGTTACTGCTTCTGAGGATTTTTTCATACTGTACAACTGATCTAAAAATTGAATTAAGCCGTGGTAAGAAGCAGTCCGTGACTAATGAGGAAAAGACCTTAGAGGAATATGACAGAGGGAATCAGGCTGACACGGAGGTGCCCTAAGTTCTAAATGTCTCGGCTGCCTCGAGCACAGGATAATACTCAGGTAATCCCTGTGTGGATCTCAGCAGGTGATTGATTCAGATTAATTTTTTTCCCTAAACTGTTTCCTCCTGTTATAAACATAAACACAAGACTGACAAGGAGAAATCTGAATTATGTCTGTATCATTAATTGCAGATTGTAGAAGGAAGGAGCAGCGTGTGTCCAAGCTGCTAATTAGGAGTAATTACCCCATGAGGTTCTGTAAGTGTCCCTAGTACAAACAAACATGAATCCCACTAACATCCCTTCCCACTGAAGAAGAAATTAAACTCTGGAAGGAGATGCCATGTCTGTACTCCCTGGGCATTCCCTGAACTATTTTGACCAAGAAGAAAACAGTTTAAGGGCTGTGTGCACAAATTCCAGTATGTCCCAGACCTAGAGGTGCTCAGGAATTTTAACAATCCTGAAGCAAAGGGAAGAGTGGGAAGGGAGATCAAAGCAGGGAGGCACCCAGAAGGTGCAGGGTAGAGTCCTTGCCCTGCTGCAGACTCTCCTAAATCCAAGTCTATCCCAGTTTATCCAAGTTTATCCCAGTATCCAAGTTTATCCCAGTGGTGCACTGGGATAAACCTGCCTGAAGAATAGGGATTCCTGCAGAACATTTCATCATCCTGGGGTTCACCACAGTGTCATGAAGAAGCATGACCTTTGTTAGAATAAAGGAGGAAGCAAAATGCCAACAGCATCTGGTACCTGAAGCTGAGGCAGGATGGCAGGAGTGGCCAAGAGCTGCTGCAGTGGCTTTTCAGCTCACAGCAACTTTCCTTGGCACTCAGTGATGAGGGTTCTCCTCTCCCTCCAGTGCTGTTTTCACCTCTCCTTGAGCACAGATTAAATCTGCTCTCCAAGAGGTTTTTCCTCTATACGATGACAAACATACCTGTAGGCTTAAATATAGAAAGCTCTGAGGTTGGGAAGTTCTGTGACTTGACAAGATCATGCAATCTGGATAAACTGGTCTTTCCCTCCTCTTGCTGCCTGTGTCTCCTCTCTCAGCAGTAGCTGCCCTGCCAGTGGGCAGAGTGATCCTTGGACAGTTGAGCATGTCAAGACTGTCTTCCAAGAGGCTCCAAGAGCCCTCTATTCTCAGTGATGTTAATTGGAGTTAAGGATGCTCCCTGCCTTGCAGGAACACTCAGCACAGTTGTATTACAAAGCTGTCAATCCAGACATGTCCTTGAGCTGTGGAGAGAAATGAGATAGACATAACTAGAATTTATCCCACTGCCCTACAGTTAACAGCATTTATGTCATCTATTTAGAGAATTTAATATTCTATATTTTTTTTAGTATAAAGAATGTAATGTTGTAGATCTTCAGTTAAAAGAATTTAAAACTCTGTCACATCTTGTCACCTTCTGGCCATGATCCTTTAGATGCAGACCAGAAAGTCAGCTGTGTCCTGGCCTGCATCCAAAGGAACAAGGCCAGAAGGGAAGGGATTCTCTCAGACTGCCCAGGAGTACTGAATCCAGTTCTGGTGCCCCCAATATAAGAGGAACATGGAAATGTTGGAGAAAGTGCAGGGCAGGGGCATGGATTTGATAAAGGGCCTGGAGCATCTTCCCTATGGGGACAGCCTGGGAGAGCTGGGGTTGTTCAGCTGGAGAAGAGAAGGTTGTTTGGAGACCCCACAGCACCTTTCAGGATCTGCAGGGGCCTCCAGGAAAGCTGGAGAGGGACTCTGCATCAGAAACTGGATGACAGGACAAGGAGGAATGGGGTTCCTTTGAGGAGGGGAAGTTTAGGCTTGATTTATGGAAGAAATTCTACCTAGTGAGGGTTGGCAGAAGTTGCCCAGAGAAGCTGTGGCTGCCCCTGGATCCCTGGAAGTGTCCAAAGCCAAGCTGGAGAGGGCTTGGAACAACCTGGGATAGTAGAAGGTGGGCAGGGGGTGGAATTGGATGGGCTTTAAGGTCCCTTCAAACCCAAACCAGTGTGGGATTCTGATACAATAAATATGTGGCAAGAATGGGATGTAACTGTTACAGAGAATCCTGTTCTTTCATCTCTCAGAGACAAACATGGAAACAGATATATCAACTCTGCAAAATCCAAGAAGTTCCGAGCTGAGCTCTGGTTAATGTCTGGCTATGCATGGAATGTCAGTGGGGCAGAAGGGAGTAGATTCACAATGCTGTATTTCATCAGGCTGCCATGACTTTCTCAAAAATCTAAAGACTGGCAATGTATTCTCTGTACATATTGTTTCAATACACTGACATTTACAAAAAACACAAAAACACAAAAGAACACAAAAAACCACAAAAGAGGGAACAGAAAGTCAAAACTTTTTTTTTCCTCATAACACAAAAATGGTGGAAATATGAAAATAAATAATTTTGTTCTGCATTTTGAAAAAGTGATGTAGTCACAGCACAAATTGAGAATGATACTAAAAAGCAGCAACTAGAGTTTGTGAGTGGGCAGTAATTTCCAATACAGATTCAAGATGAGGTTTCCAAACAACAAAAATGGCCAAAGAACTCCAGAGGTTATTCGTGTCATTCTTCAGTGACTCTCAGAAGACAAGTATAAAATTAATCCTGCTGTAGCATCAGGCACTTGAAGAGACTTCCCAGGGGATTACTGCTCTGAAGACTTGACATCTATCCTAGACCTTGAGCACAATCAGATTTTGAAAAAGTCTAACAGTTCCCTTTTTGAAAATTAGTTCTGGCATCTTATTATGGCAAATAATAAGATCTAAACATCATAGTATGATAGCTAGCAGAGCCTGCAAGCAGTCTGAAATATCTCATGCAGGTTTTACTGATCTCACCCCGTTTTACGCTGGGGGTTCACAGGGTGAGCTTGGTGCCAGCATGAATTCTCTCAAGGAGAAGGACCACAGGGCTGTCACAGGGAGGAGGTTTACTTGGGGTGGAAGTTTGGATTTTCTGCAGGGAGACAAGAGCAGATAGAAAAACAAAAGGAAAGACCCAAAACCAAAGAGAAAACTCACATTTCCTTTCTTCTGCTTCAACAAAAGGATCTGCCACAAAACTTCTGTTATTATAAACTGGATTTTCATTTGAAAAACTTTCCAGTAAGTCTGTTCTGGTAGCACAAGAAAGGCATGAATATAGCTGGAAAAGAGATAATGACTGTGTAAGAAAACCAAGTGCAACAAAGAGAAATTTTCTGCTTGCTCTTATGGCAACTTCCACCCACCAATCTGCTGTGGATGAGATGCACCTATGTCCCAAGAGGGCATCAAGCTGGCGGTCTACAGTTAAATAAGAAACTCAGTTCTCCATCTGGGTTTTTGTGTTTCTGCCACAGAATTTTTCCCAACAGAACACCAGCACAAAAAAATAAGCTTCAAAATGGTGCAGTGATGATTTTTAAGGCTCCAGAGTAAGAAAGATACAGAGTTCCTGATGCAGAGCAGCATCAGCTGTTTGTAACACAGAATTAGCTGTAAAAGTCTGCATCCCACATCTGCACGTTGGTCACTGTCTGTTTAAATATTTCATGATGTGTGCAATTAAGTTCTTTCCTCCCTGTTGACTCTGTGACTTTAGAAATCCAAAGTACTTATCTTGACCCATGTTCTGTGCTTGTTTTCACATTGCGTTTGCACACTGACAATGAATCAAAACAATTTCTTTTGTATTTATGACCAGATTCACTTTGGGGAGCTGAGAGCTGCCATATTTGGTGTGCAAAAACTGCTGTCTGGCATGTTTGGAAACAAAAGCCTGTGTTATTGAGACTTAAAAAGAGGATGCAAAATAGATTTATAATTATTGTAATTAGAATAAAAGCATGATTGCACTGAACTTAAATCCTGGTCCAAATTTCATACACATGCACAAACCATCTAAACAGAAATTAACTTCATAATTAATATTGGATCATTCCTATTACAAAAAAGGCACTATTAATTATTGATGATACTTGTGCTTTTCCCGAGTCGTTTCCATCTTTTCCCCTCCAGTTCATGGAGTGCTGGGGGTAATTCAGCATGTACAAATAAATCATTCAGAGGTGCGTAAGTTACTCCATGCTCCTGCATGCAGGAGGACCTGCTCCTGGATGTTCTTATCAAGCAGATTATAGAGGGGCATTTGTTTGCACAAGCAGAGCTAGAATATTCTCTTTAGAGTTCAGCTTCCTCCTTTCATCCCACCCACCACCAGACACTTCCTGACATTTCTCCTGCAGGCAGAGCAAGGCAACTGCCTTTTTTTTTTCCTTTTTCAACGGCTGCTCCTTCGGTTATCTGTGGGTGGTGGGGGAAGGGGATGTTATCTCAACAGCAAACACAGCCAGAGCAAGTCTGGGAATGAGGGGGAGTTTCAGGATGGAAATAGGCCCCTGCCAGCCCTCCTGCGTCTGTGTCTCTATGACTAAGCGTTCGTTTTTTAAAACTTGGCTTTTCTCTTTCCTTGATCCTTGTTGTTTCCAAGCCTCCTGTTCCCCTTTGTCCTGACAGCTCCTGACATCACCAGCTCCAGGGAAACGCAAATCCCACCCAGTACGTGGAGGGATAAAGCCAGAGCAACTCCTGAGCTGGGACACAAACCCGTGTCCTCACTGTACCTGGGTCTCCCCTGTCTGTGCAGGGCTCAAGAGGAGACACCACTTCAATTGTTTTTACACTGAAATATTTCCTGTATGATCTTACAGCATTACAGTCCTGCCTCAAGAGTTTGCAGTATATGAGCACCTAAAATTAAGAGGTCTCCACAGTTTTGTCCATCTCTGGGACAGAAAAGGCCACTTGCTGCTCATCTCCACATCCCTTCTCAGTCCATGACAAGGACAAAGGAGTGCATAAGCACCAAACGGTTTAATGGTGAATATGGTGGTGGTGTTGTGTTGATGGTTTGATTTGGTGATCTTAGAGGTCTTTTCCAACATAACAATTTCATGATTCTTTGTGGGTACAACATCTGCATCAGCCATGTTTTCCTGAGCCCATCTCCCAAAGCTGTCCTGTTTGGATGCTCACTGGAAAGGAAACAAGATTATTTGTTGTTATTAATTTGTGTTTGGCCTGAAACACACAGCAGGGCTGTCCCACCTGCAGCTGGAATTCTCTGGAGAGACCCCCACATTGGAGCAGAGGCAGGAGTGCTGAGCCCCAGCCCATAGGGCTGGCAGGTTTGCAGGAGTGCCCAGCCCCACTCCATACAGCTGGCAGGTTTTCTGGGTGATCTATATTCAGCTGTGCATGCCTGTGGGGATGTGCAAAGATCATTCATCCAGTTCACTGAACTGCAGCCTGCCTGTGGAGGGGGTTTCGTGGCTCCTTTTTAAATGTCACTGGTTTAAAGAGGAATCGTCTCACACAGGATTGTGCAGCAGATTGGAATGTGGACACTCCAGGGGTGAATTAAAAAGCAATTAAAAAAACAATACTGTGCAACAATCTTATCTTTTCCCTACCTTATCCAGGGATTTATCTTGGTCTGTTCTGCTGGAGTCACCACCACATTACCTACTTTTAGCCACATTTGTGCACAGACAGTTCATGTAGAATCACAGAATCATGAAATGGTTTGGGTTCAAAGGGACCTTAAAGATCATCTTTTTTCAAACCCTGCTATGGGCAGGGACACACTCCACTATCCCAGGCTGCTCCAAGCCCCATCCAACCTGGCCTTGGACACTTGCAGGGATGGGGCAGCCACAGCTCCTCTGGGTAACCTGTGCCAGGGCCACCTGTGACCACATAGGGCCCCTTGTTCCCTCCTGCCAAATAGCCCACCTAACCCTGTCCTCTGGCAATGACCCTTCTTGTCCTGTCACTCTAGACCCTTGGAAACAGTCTCTCTCCATCTTTGCTGTTGTCCCCTTCAGGCACTGGAAGGCCACAATCAGGTCTTTCCAAAGCTGGGCCAACAACACCCAAGAGTCAAGAGCCCAAACAAGCTGAAGAATGTCCAGCTCTGGTTCCAACACCCTTCAGAGAATGGGCTCGGATATCTCAGACCACACCAGGGTTGATCTAGCTTTAAATGGTGGTTCTCACTGTCACTTCTTTATCTGTCCATTGTAGTATCAGCCTCAGCAAACCTGCAGCAGGCAGAGATTTCAACAGCTCATGGCTGATCTATGACTTATTGTAGTGACAGAATTCTTACAGAATATTTCATACAGTGATCTGAAAGCATTTTCTGTTGGATGTTGAAAGTTCAGATATTTCCATCACACCCTGGTTTACTTAGGAGAATCATGCAATGACACAAAGATGTCTGTTCCCATTAAAATGCTTAAACAAGTTCATTTTATACCATACTTTGGAAATCTACAACGTAGCTCCAAGATGTTGCAGTAGTTTTGTTGAGTCTTGTGATGCCAGTGGAGTTCTCCTGGTATTTGAGGTTATCCTGAATGGCTGAACATTTGGCACTGGGATGACACGAAAACTGAGGTTTAGTCAACACAAAAACACGCACAATTCCTAAACTCCAGCCTGAAAACATGAAGGCAGCTTTGGCAAAGCCTCAGAAACCAGAGGGTAAAAAGAAAAAGCAAGTTTATTTTACTAATTATCTTCATTCCTAAACCAAACTCAAAATTTTAAGGTCTTCCTCCTACTTGAATTTCTCAGCATTTTCATTATGTTAATAAATATTTATTTTTTATTATATTTATTATGTAGTCATTTTATTTCTCTATTTTCTGTCTTCCTAGAAAATCCCAGTGAGAAATCCATGCATTTTCAGCTGGTCCACACACATAGAGCACACCTGTGCTGTGACCCACATGCTTTTAGGACACCTGTGTGTTCACAGTGGACTTTTGTGCACAACATCTGGGGAGCCCTGACATGTGCAGCCCTATATTGAGACTGTATTATAATTTCCAACTCCTAAACAAATTAAATATAAATCCCTATTAAATTTTTATTGTCATTGTATTTTGTCCCCATTTAAAAAAGATTAAAATATTAATTCTTTTAATTTGTAGCTATCTAAAGATAAAATTATTTTTTAAAATTACTATAAATTTTCACATCAGGCTCACAGTTCAAATATTACATCTTTTACCATTAAAAAAACCCCAAATTCTTTGCGAAATTTCACAAAACAACTCATCAATTAGATTTTTTTTAGATTTCAGGATAAGGATTATTTTAATTTAGACTTGAGGATGAGGATTATTGTATTAATTATTAAATTATCACATTAATTATCTCTCTGTCCTTGGAATTCCATGATTTCTAAGACAGACCTGACAGGATTTCCTAAATGAATCCAAATATTCTGTATCCAGCATTTCAAGCCAGCTGAAGGACAGTGTTTCACTGTGACTGATCAATTCAGTCACCACTGAAATGCAGCTGCAGCTCAGCACCAGCCTGTAATTGTGCAAATCAGATAAACTGGGAAGTGGATATTTCCTTTAAGACCAAGTTTTAATTAGCAGATAGATTATTTAATTATCAAAGAGACAGGAACGCATTGTTCTTATCAACTTCTGGTGCTGGCAATGTCTGACATTGCTCACAATAAAAAACCTCCATAATCTGTATCTCACACGTGGTTTCAAAGGTTTTCATAATAAGCCATCAGTGTTCATTGGCTACACGTTACATAGTTCTCTTTTAATTAGTGTTCTATCTTCTACTGGTTAACGATTCTCTTGCTTCTCATACTAATTAGTGCCATGCTCAGTGTTTCTCTTCTTTTGGGTTTCTTGGGTCAGTGGTCCATGAGTTGGCAGTTGTGATCTCCCCCTGACAGAATTACCCTTCACCCAGATGGAGTTGATTCAGCACTGTTGCCAGGTTGGGTTTATTAGTTCATTCCTCATCTTGGCAGTTCTGCCAGATGTCTTTGTGGCTCATCAATTGTGCATTTCCTGTGTCCACCATCATTGGCACATCCTTCTCCCCAGGTTTTGTTTAACTCCCTCGAAGTCTGAGCTCATGAAGTATGTCCAGGACTAAACCTTAACAAGGCAACTCTACCAACAATAACTTGTTTTTCTAACACCTGGGCATTACTTAGAGCTTGTGAGCTGCTATTTGTTCCACTGATTAAACCTCCCTTCCTGTTGATGAGGCTTGAAAGCACGCACACATCTAACATCACAGAACACCCTTAAGGAAATGTTTACATATTCCACATTTTGCAACAGTATCAACATACGTTAAAGTCAGTGAAGAAAAATCACTTAGTTCAAAACGAATTAATTCACGAATGACGCAGCAGAGGTACAAGAGGCTGAACAGGTGAGGTGGGGGCCGTGAGGGTGGTGCTGTGGCCTGGCT